CGCATCCGGATCAATGCCTCCAACTTTCACTGGTCCAGACAGGTCAGCTGAGAGCACGAAAGCTGCTGGATGCTCCACTCTAGCGTGCCTTCTCCCCGTTGCCCCGGCCTGAACACATACAGCGCAGTCCGCTCTGTAAGGTAGATGTCCTCTTCGTACATGCTCCCGCCACTGGTCTGCACTCATCCTGACCATTCTTGGTACTGTACCCCAGTTCCTAATAGCGATCACCACCTGCTCATAGAACTCCGTGGGCCATACGCATGCTGGGGTTTTTTCTGGAACAGGTCCATCTGAGTACCAGCGCATTCGAAGACCATTGACATGCCGTAGAGGTAGATTTGTACCAATAGTAGTATGTCTAGTAAAAGCTTTGCCAAACGCTGCCATGTCAAAGCTATATGCATGTAGCCCAGCCTCCAATGCGTACTCGGTCCACGTAGGTGTCCTCCAGAAACTTACCACCTCGGGATACAGTGGATCTTGGAACTGTAGGTACCCTCTGGGGTCTCTCGGATGCTCCAAAAGGAAACCCACTTCCTTTTGCGACTCTGGGTCAGGCTGCGACTTAATCCTCCCTGCTGTAGCCAAAGCGTGCAGGTACACCATTCTTGCTAGAAGTTGTGTTTGCTGATTCACCTCATAGACATCCACATCTGACTGTCCTGGCCAGTTTCCGTACGGGTATTCATTGGATCGCAAAGGCCTTGGTCCACACACCACGTGTCTCGAAATCATAAACGATCCTTGAGGTGGACCTCCGATGATAGCTGCAATCTTGCCTTTGCGAGCAGCGTACTCCAAGGCTTTCCATGTGGCCGGCCGCAAAATATTTTGAGTGCGGCCTCGCTCTATATCTAGCTCTAGAACAGAGTACCCATCTCTTTCCAGGTGATACAGATCCTTCTTTTCTCGGTCCCCTGCAAAGAGGTGTACAACCCACTTGGCCGAACCCCATAGCCTCCTTCTTGACCGCCTGTTCAAGTGCTCCAAGCCCTTCAAAGAGTCCCACCCATTGCACTCCGGGACTGCATCTACAAGCCCTGCCAAGCACTCTCGAGGTACATCCTGGAAGAAAGGCGCGGCATCTATCGCGGCAAGAGACTGATTCGCTAATCCACCATCTACATATGACAGCAGGTGATCAAACCATGTCTTGTTCATAGCCACCATAGCAGCCTTGATCCTCCTTCTGGTAGTGCTGGTATTTGCCCTCAAGGCCTCCAGGTTCTCGTCCTCCAAGCGGGCGATTAAGCTTAGAGCATCGCGCTCTGCAATCTCAGGGCATCCATCACGAACACGAAGATTGTATATCTCTCCGTCACGTCCCTCTAACTTGCACCTATTGCTGTTCCACGTCATAGTGTATCCCAGCTGTCCCACCAGTGCACCCAAAGGAACGATCGGTGTTGTAGAGGAGGTAGTCGCCGTAGAGAATTCTGGGACCAAGATTGTACCCGCCTCATTCATTCTCAAATAGACTGACTCACCCCCAGCTAGGTTCACCGTGACAGGAGACGCACTGCACCACTCCTCCTGGGTCTTGGCCTTTCTCAACGCATGAGTAGCTCCCGAGTCTACCAGCGCATAAGCTTGCATGCTCCCCGACATAGGCTGAAGAGCTCGTAGAGACACCACATTGATCGACGGTCCCTCTGGCGGCTTCGCTCCCGCCACCTTAGCAGCAGCTTGAAGAAGCGTTTCCAGTGTCCACACAGGTTCTCCACTGACCACAGCGCTTGCCGGGGATGTCGGAGAGACTTCACCCTCCGGTTCCAGCCTCTGCACCTTCGGTTCCCTGGTCATAGTAGAAGAAGCCGGCTGCTGTGCCCCGCCTCCTCCTGCGCTCGCTGAGGTTCTTGCGCCGCCTCTCGGCACCTTTGTAGGGCACTCTCGCTGTCTATGGTCTTCTGCTCCGCATAGTAGACATTTCTTTGCCCTATCTTGCTTCGATAATTGTGACATATCGTGACTGTACGGACACTTTGCCCCACGTCGACACCCTCCTGCACGGAAAAAATACTTGCATGCTCCCTTTGCACCAGATGGCGATGTAGGCGTCGATCCCGACGCTCCTCCTGTGGCTTGAGTGCTGGCACCCAACTGTCGTACCTTGGCCAACAGTGTATTGCTCGTGCTCTTAGCCGCCGCCATCGTCTCGATCTCAGCTTGTAGGTGCTGCTGGTACTTACACACATCTGCTTGGGTTGGCTGTGCATCTATTCTCAGGCTCGACCGAAGGAGCTGTGTACGAAACTGAGCGTCGGCGCTGTCAGCGATAAAGCGACTTGTTGTCGCTGTTAACACCTTGGACAACACAGAGCCATCCGGAACCATCATCTTCAGGTCTTTGCACCGCTGCATCCATCTCGGCCATGCCCTCAACCACGTCAAAGCCTCCTCCAAAGTCTCAGGCGCACCTGCCGTCTGCAAGCTCTGCAACACAGTTGAGCGCTCTGATGCTCCGCCTGGCTGGTATGTCGTGTGCAGCCTAAACAGCACCAACGGTGAGCTTTGCACCACACGCCGGGATATAAGATCCAGTCTCACCGTCTCTGTCAAACTCTGCAGGATTAACGAGCACGCCCTGGCATTCACTCTGGTCCACTTGCCCGTTGTCAGGTTCTCATGATCTTTGGGTTCCAACTGCAGACGCTCCAACGGCGATGCTGAGAGCCACGTAGTATATGCTGTTTGCACCATTTCCAACACTTGCTTCCACCAAGCGCCCGAAGACGAGGATAGGTCTTGCATGGGTATTGTAACCTGAGCCAACCAGTCCTGTAAAAGAATACCCATTGTACTCCCATCTGGACTTGCCAATAGAGGTAATGCTATGGTATTGCTTTTCACTTGCTCTGGAACGTCATCGCCATCAAGCTCCTTTCTCATCGTCTTTTCTTGCAAGGCCTGCAGGTTGATCAAGTTCTTAGCAAGAGCCTCCAAGATCGCGCTGTTTGTAGAAGCCTCTGCATCCCTCTGCGTACCCTCTACTGTAGCCTGCCCCCTCAATCTCTCGTCTGGCACCGGGGCATTCCTGCTAGCTGTAAGTTCCTCCCACAACGCACCCAAAGGATCTCTCCATGGATTTGGACGACTCGCTGCCCGATTACGACCTTCACCTAGGGGTACTTCTGGGACTTGGGCAACTTGTGGAGGAGCACCTCCCAGTACTGATTCATCTCTCCCATCTGTACGTGGATCCCCTTGTGGTACATCAGCAAATAGCTCCCTTGACTGCTCATCCCGAAACGGTGTAGCGTTGGAGTTTCCTTCTTGTTGTAGTCGAAGGTGAAGCCGCTGGTTCTCTTGCTCCGCTTGCTGTAACCGATCTAGCAAAGAACCTAGCTGCCGCTGTACTTCTGCTTGGATGGCCTCTGCTGGTATGCTGCTGCTGCTTGGGGTATAGTGATTATTAGGGCCTAAACCGCCTACCCGTCCATCCTCCGCTGCTCTGCCCTGCCAAGGTCCTGACGAAGGTGGCGCACCAGCTGACATCGACTGAGGAACGCTGCTTCTCTGCGCTGACTCCCCAAAACCGCGTGGCCTCGGAGGAGATGGCAGCGGACTCGGCAGCCATTGCGCTGGCGGCGCTTTAAACATGTCCCCCAGTCTGTTTAACCATCCAGGCCATGCAGTCCCACTCGTCGGTCGCACGCCCACCGGTGCTCCCAACAGTGTTCTCGTAGATCGCGGGGTATTGTACACTCCGCTCCCATCCACTTCAGCGCTATCACCTGGAGTTCCCACCATCTCTTGCACTGTCTGTCCACCAGCTGGAGTCGCTCCACTTGAGCCAGCTTGGCCGGCTATGTCTGTGCGAGCCTGCATCCCCTGATCTTCGACAGCGCCAGAAATCGCATCCGCACTTCCAGATGGAGCGCCTTGCTCCCTTTCCGCCACCAGTTGAGCGGATGGCAGGCCAGGCACCTCAGTCGTGCCCCCACCACCTTTTTCGCTTCCAGCTGCGGTTTCATGACCATTCATTAGCCGCGGAGCCTCATCATCAAAGCCTTGGCGACTAGTCACGGCATCCTCCCTCACAAGCACTGAAGGACCGGGATCGCCGTCTCTCTGCGGAGTCTGTGCACCAGCTTGGGCGCTCATAACCTGATGAAAGGCAGCACCGCTTACAGGCAGAGCATCTCACACCATGGGCGCGACCTAAGCGAATTGTCTTTTTACCACACAAAGCACACCTGTGAAAGGCTTTCGGCTGGGGTGTACAAGGTTGCCTACTCGCCTCTTCCTGAAAAGCTAGCTTCTGCCGAGAAGGGCATTAGCTCTTGTGCTGGCTTCTGCCGAGAAGGGCAATAGCTCTACTGCACATGAACGGCTCAAGGCTGTCTTCGTAGCCTTCCTGCGGTCACACAAAAGCATGCAGCCAGAGCTTGCACTCATGTTTGCGAACCCTGAATTAAGGATTTTTACACTAATTATAACCCTACTTACTAAGTCCCATGATCCTTTAAGTAGACCCTAAACCCTGTGATTGAAACCTTGCAGGATTCGCAGCACCAACGATTTCAGGATGAGTTCCCGAGGCCGAGAGACACCTACCTTAAGAACCCAAAACCCACTTTTTTGTAGGTTCTTATTATAAACCCTAATATGGGATTTATAGGGACCCTACAAAAAAGTAGGTTTTGGGTTCTTAAGGTAAACCCTAAACCCACCCCGACCTTAACCTGGCGGTTTAGAACTCGGAGAAAGTCTTTTCGTATCCCGTTAAGGGACCCTATGTATCGAAGACTTTTAGAACCCTTTTCCATGATGACACTGTAAGGAACCCTCTTTAAGGAACCCGACAAGAAACACCCAACAACCACATGGGTAGTTCTCTAAATCAGGGTCCCTTTTAGATCCCCAATATAGTACCCCACCCTTATAAAAGGACCCCCTAAAAGGGACCCTAATTTAGAGAACTGCCCACATGAAACCCTAAACCCAAAACCCCTAAACCCCAAACCCTAAACCCTAAACCCTAAACCCTCAAAGTCCTTCCCAAGTCTCGAACTGGCAGTTATTGTAGGGCAGGCGTTCGAAGTAGGCCTCGGCTCAGCGTTGAGGGTTGAGGGTTTACCTGGACCCTAAAGAACCTACCTGTTTATAGGGCTCCTTATTACGATTTCTTTATATAAGTCCTGAAAAGGTAGGTTATTTGGGGTTCAGGTAGGGCTTAGGGTTTAAGGGCTTACGGTTAAGGGTTGAAGGTTTTAGGGGTGTGGGTTGAAGGTTTCTGTTTGTTTGTTTTTTATGGCCGTTCTCCACAGCATCTTTGGGTTAAAGGTTTAGGGTTCAGGGTTGCGAGAGCTGGTGCCCAACATGGCGTAAGTACCGAACCTTTGGAGTGGAAGAGATCATGCTACGAAGCACCAAACCCGGAACCCCCTGGTGCTGTAAGCTTAGTTTACCGTTTTCAGCTCATCGGCCAGGACATGTATCTGAGCTAACCTAAGCCCAAAGGGCTTAGGGTTTCGGGCTTAAGGGTTTAGGGGTTTCGGGGCTTAGGGTTTTTTAAGGGTTTGTCAGGTGGTCCCGCAAAGGAAAAGCATTTGTTGGGCCCTGTTTAGGGTTTAGGGTTGACTTTAAATAACTTCCTTCTTAAGTTATAGGTATTTGGGGGTTCTGAAAATAGGGGACCCTAATATAGTACCCTAAACAATAGGATCCTTAAAATATAAGGACCCCCAAATAAGGTACCCCTAATTTTCGGAAACTCCCATTTTGGACCCTAAACCCTAAACCCTAAACCCTAAACAATTGAAGTCTCAATACTAAATCTCAGCTCTGGGGCCTGAACCCTGCCCCTGAAGACCAAAGCAGTAAAGCGCAAACCCTGAGCCTTACACCATACTATTCCCTAAACCCTGAACCCTAAACCCTAAACCCTAAACCCTAAACCCTAAAACCCTAAACCCTAAACCCTACACCCTAAACCCTAAATCCTCAACCCTAAATCTGGCCAGACCGGTAAAACTCGAAATCCCCAAACCCTAAACTCCAACTCTCAGCGCCGGCTGTGACCTCCGAGTGGCATTGAAGTCCGGGCCGAAAGCTTCAAGGGACCAATCGCCGTTCCAACCCAGAGGCACGTGATGCCTGGATTTCAGGGATTGGGTTTAGGGTTTAGGGTTTAGGGTTCAGGATTTAGGGTTTAAGGTTTCGGGTTTAGGGCTTCAGGGTTTTGGGGTTTACGTCTTCAGGGTTTTGGTGCTTAGGGTTTCAGGGTTCGGGTTTCTCATAAAGGGATCATTTACTATATACGAACAGTTTGTTTTAGTTGCGGTCAGAGTCTCGCTGTTTAGGGTTCGGGTTGAGAGCCCGGGGTGAAGGCCGGGCTACTTGGAAGATCATGGGACTTAGCAAGTAAGGTTATAAGTCCCTTAATTGGGGTTATACCCTAAGGCTCCTAAGGTCCCTCCCAAGCACGTGCCGGTACCTGCGTAGCAGGGGTTGGGCCCTGCCCTTTTTAGAACGAGGGGCCGACGATACAGGGCCCAGGGCCCGCCAGGGCCCGCGAGGGCCCGCGAGGGACCAGCAGGCGTCAAAGGTAACCAACCGGCATAAGATCGTTCTCTTCATAAGTTTTGTATGGTCGTCTAGTTTCAATTGCACTCTTTGACCGAGGGCACAACGAATACACAGGGACGGGCTTACAGTTTCTATACACTTGCGGTTGATGGCTAGCATCAGACCTTATCTGCACACAGAAAACCCGAGGCTGCACGAAGGGTTTCTGCGAGTATACATGCAGCATTGTGGTGCATGACACTTCATATAATTGTGTTGCTTTGGGGCAGACTCTTCTGCCATGCTGTTGCTCCATATGGCGCTGTTTCTTTTGAGATCGCAGCCGTGTGTACATGCATGTGTGAGACGAGGAAGTGCCGATCAGCATCAGCTTGACGATCGCGTCCTGCATGCATGCGTAGCACAAGAATTTTAAGTATAAGCCCAGTGCATGTACACGACCAGTGTTGCTCCGACTTGTAAGCTTGTTCAAGCTATGGAATGCCTAGACGACTTGGGCGGCTTGGAGGACCGACAGCCATCTCGACTCGTTTGTGCTAGGTTCTGCTGGAGCACCGGAGTGTGCGATCATGCATGCACACGGAAATGTCCTGGCAGCCATCTGCAGTCCGGCCGCCTATGCCTCTCACAGGGTAGGTATTTGTGCTAGCATACAAATTAAAGGCCTTGCCTTCCCACAGGAGGTACAGGTCCCTGGGAACTTACTGCATATATATATATATAGATCACTTGTAAGCTACAACTCGGTCCAGCAACGTTGTAGATTTGTAGCTAGTGCAGCTCGCACCAGCATGCCCGGATTTGATGTTCCTGAACTACAAAGAGCCCTGACTGCACTGGCCATTGCTCTGTATTCCTTCGTGCGATCTTTAGACGACAGCCGAGGTATCATCAAGACCCAGTTGCCACAAGCAGCCTTTCTGGATTGTGCCAAATCCAAACGCCCTCAGAACACCTTGTTCGGGGAGGTGAACGATGCTCAGAACATATGTTTTGAAGATTTAGAGAACTACTTGGCTTTGGTGCTTGCGCTATGTCGGCATTCACCTCAGGGAACCCTGGTCGCATCGCTAGTGTCTCCACGAACTTCATTCAAAATCACCCAAATCTGCCTGGATGGCAAGCCCAGGTATCTTTTCTACAGCCGATTTCCAGAACGTGTTCACACAGCTCGACGAAGGGGTGAACCACATGCTGAGCCAGGGAAGAACTCGCAAAGAACAAATCAGATGGGCTTCTGACGTTTCTCTGCTGCATGCTGCTCTTCGATGTTTCGATAACATGCAGGGTGTGTTGCATGAATCATGCCATGTGCATACTGCAGGAAGCCTACTTGGTGATGAATTTGCTATCGTATGCTCGGCGGTACTGGCGAAAATCCGTGAAGCGAGATTCTCGAACACCTGCAGCCTGTGAAGATTTAGTCGAGACAAGAGAGAGCGAGCGCGAGAGAGAGAGAGGGAGAGAGAGTGTGTGTGTGCATGGAGCACGTGGAGCATGTTGTGGAGTGCATGCATGTGTGCTTGGCGCGGAGGTAGCTTTGGACCTACGTGCTGTATGTGTGGCAAACCCCTCAAGGACAAGAAAAAAGCGAACAAAATCAACGGACGCATCGGATACAGCTACAAATGCCACGCTAGATGTTTCTTCTGACAGCGACATAGAGATCCTCGAGCCAAGCTCTTCCGTGGCCATGGAAGCCTCTTCCTACCCTGCTGCGTACCACCAAGGCTCCTCAAACCTCGTTGTTCAGACAGCTATATATATATATAGCTATATATATATATATATATTGTGCATGTGCGTGTATGTGTGTGTAGACGTCGCGAGTATAGGGAATGGTATATTGTACGCCTGTCGGTCTGCGTTGTGCGACGTTTTCGCTTAAGAGCTCAAAAGGTTTGTGGGTGTGCAGTGTGCACGTGTGTGAGTGTGACAGAGAGTTAGAGAGCGAGAGAGAGAGAGAGAGAGAGAGAGAGAGAGAGTGAGAGTGTGTGTGTGTGTGTGTGTGAGTGTGTGGATGTGTGCGTGTGTGCGTGTGTGTGTGTGTGTGTGTGTGCGTGCTTGTGTGTGTGTGTGTGCGTGTGCGTGCAGGTGTGTGAGTGTGGGTGAGTGGGTGGGTGGTTGGTAGGGTTACTGGGTGGGTGGGTGGTTGGTTGGTTGGTTGGGTGGGTGGGTGGGTGGGTGGGTGGGGGTGGGTGGTGGTTGGGTGGGTATGAGGCTGTGCGGATCCGCGAGTGGGTCGGGGTGGATGTGTGTGTGTGTGTGTGACATGCATGATCATGAATGCAAGTGAGCTCCCTGCAGGTGCAATGTATGCTCACGGGGCTCACGGGGATATCGAAATGGGCCTCAAAGGCCTGTTTGACAGCCGGTAAGATTTCTCTGATGTGCATGTCTAGGCGCAGTGTGGGCTAAAATAGGTTGGAATGCTGAAGAGGTGATGAGCAGAACGATGCCAGCGTCGTGAGTCTTGATGTGAACAAGTACAATGAGCGGAGTTCGTCAATTGCTTCCTTGGCTGTTCGTGGCCGCGCACAGCAAGGACGCATGTAGAATGTAGAGTGTGGGGTTGCCTGTCGTGTGTGTGTGTGTGTGTGTGTTGGATACACATGTGTCCGGGGCACCACGCCGTCGGAGGTGAGGCTGGGTGCTCTCATACTATGCATTCTGCGTGTGTGCACGTTCTGTAGGATCTGTGCCTGGCGAGTCTGGGCCGTGGCTGGCAGCTGTTGTGCTGCAGTGTGCAAACATTTGTTCGCGAGTTTTGCTTCTGTGATTATGGATCTCAGTGCGTCCTGCTGCTCATGGTGGCCATGCATCTGAACTGCCATTGGTTGTTTGAGACGCCAATCTCCTCCATAGCTCCTTGTTGGCAATTTCACATTGTGCAGACTTTTCGTCGGTGCTTTCCGGAATGTGCAGCACTGCAGGTTGATCGACACCCTCGGCTGGCTAAATTCTTGCGGAACCGGGAGAACATCAAGCTCTCCACTTGGCTCGGAATGTTTGGTGCGCCAACTCCCAAGGGATTAAAGCTGTATGCCAGCGGAAAATGGGCACTTCGCCTCAAGCGCAAGCTGGTCCGCTCCAAGTTTCAGCAAAAATCGCGTACAACGAAACGCTGGATGGAGAATGGGGTCGAGAGATTCACCGGAACAGCTGCGCTGAAGGCAACGCAGGTGTATCCTCGATCTTTTGGCAACCAGGCAGGTTCATGCATGGCTCTCATACTATTAGCACGTCGTTTAGGTTTGGTACTTTGTGTGGTTGCGGTTTGGCACCTGTCCTCGACTCATGTCTTCCGTGTCTTCGGGGTGTGGTGCTGTGTCTCCAATGTTGGGTCTGTTGGGTTGGGTATATTTGTAGGCTTATATAGGGTGTCTTGTATATGTCCTATAGACGGTAGTGGCAGTTTTAACAGACTATGGTTTAAGCATAGGTCTTGTCTGTCGAATATATTTTTTAAGTCCTAAACCCTAAACATATTCCTCCTCGCCCCCGCCCAATAAGCAGAACAGCCCCCGCCCCCGGATAAGCAAAGCCTGACAACATAACATACCCCCCCAATAAGCAGAACAACATACCTCCCCCCCGATAAGCATAACCTACATACTCCCCGGTCAACAAAGCCTAAAAGATACCCCCAATACGCCCAATGTTGTTCTGCTTATTGGGGGGTATCTTTTCGGGGGCTATTTTGTTCTGCTTGCTGGAAGGGTCTCATTTCATGCTTATCCGGGGTTATGTTGTTCTGCTTATAGAGGTGTATCTTTTCAAGTTTTATTTGACGGGGTGGGGGGTATGTTGTTTTGCTTTTTGGGGGTATCTTTTCAGATTTGGCTTATCGGAGGGGTATGTTGTTCTGCTTATTGGGGGGTATCTTTTCAGATTTCGTTTATCCAGGGTTCTGCTTATTGGGGGGTATCTTTTCAGGTTTTGCTTATTGGGGGAGTATCTTTTCAGGTTTTGCTTATTGGGAGGTATCTTTTCAGGTTTAGCTTATTGGGGTGTATCTTTTCAGGTTTCGCTTATCGGGGTTTTCAGGTTGTGCTTACCGGGGTGTCTTTTTCGTTTAGTTAGCTTGGCTGCTGGGATTGTAAACCCTATCATTATAGGGCATGAAAGCAGGAGCTTACAATTTCGAAGCTTGCCACAGCCCAGAAACTAACCCCACCCTAATCCCAAACTTCCCTGGGTACTTCTACAGAAGCAGACTCAAGAAAAGTTAATGTATCCAGAGTTAAAAGGTTAAACCGTATCCTGCAATCCTGCCGTACTGAACCCTTGAAGCCAAATATAGGAGCCATGCAGCAATGTACAACGATAGGCCCCAAATAAACTAGTATAGTGGTTTCGTTCAGGGATCTGACAAATGCTACCATGGCTCCTTGCCCTCTGCATGGATCCAACAAGATCCCGAAGAACTCCACATGGTGGAGGTGGGACTCAGCATTGGAGTTCAGAGTTAGACAATTGGCCCTGGAGTACCTATGTCTTAGTCTTCGCATCCGTCAATTTCCGATGGGCTCTAGCATGGATCTTCAGAACTTGCTGGGCTCCGCGTG